CCGACCTTCTACTCCGGATGGCCTCATTTCCCACTTTTCGCGCTGACTCGTGCTCTTCATCCGCTCCTTCTGACTCATACTGTCCTTAGGCTGCTTTTCAATGCAACGAGGTGGTCGCAGCCCACTCTTCGCTCTACATTCATTGATCATTTATCCTTCCGCACTCTGATCATTGAACTACGGTTATGACGGTGAGCTAATAGCTAATAACTGGAATCCAGTCATTGCATTAATATAGACTGTAGAGTTCCAAACCAGAAGAATTTGGCGATTGGAGGTTATGGATTATGTTGTCGGTCAACGGGGCCCAGACACCGCTGGAATCCAAACGTGTCCTGATCGCCAACTTTGGGACGTCGAACCCATTATCGTCACTGTTTTCCCCGAACAACTAAGTCGGCTCCCCCTTACGACCTCTGGCTTCAGAAGATTTGCTTGCGGGCCGCGAAAGGAGACGCGTCAACTGTGAAGTCGAAGCGGATGGGACAATGGAGTGTGGGTTTGAATGCGCGGAGGGAGGAAAGGAGCTGGTTCATGGTATCCGATTGACCTGGAAGGAGCGAAGGCGGAAAGAGGAGGGGTGGCGACAGTGAAGCGGCCGAATAGAGGGCCCGAGAAGATGGGGACGGGGAGCTTTATCGAGACGAGAGCAGTACCAAGCCGGTTGGGCGGAGCGTGGGACCGTTTGCAGGACCATCCGACTTCACTACCGCGGTTTCGTGTTTTGCGGTCAGCTGTTCGCTCGCGCTGCCATTGATTGACCCAAACAAAAGAGAAATTGGCGAGCGTGACGGCGGTTCAGGATTGACTTGGAGAAGAAGGAGGCCGACGAAAGACGAGGAGACGCGACAAAGGGGAGGACTTGTCGTGTATCGGAGCCAAGGGAGGCGATCAGTAGCCACATTGAGCTCAGAAACACACAAGGACGAGCCTTGGTTGAGTTCACCAACCCCATCATTCTCCTCTTTTTCAGCCAATCTGTTCTCCCGACCACCTGTCTCTCCTCCTCTCCGTAGGCACCGTTTGAGTCGTTGACGGAGGTTCCGGGAACAGAAGGAACCACAGGCTGCTCATAACGCCAGGCAGTAGAGCTGTAACATTGTTGGAATCCAACAATGGAGAGCTTTACTGCCTGAGAATCACTCGCAAGCTTCATGCGGGCGAGCGAGTCCACGTAATCGTCGACGAAGAGGAAGGTCCGACACACGTGACGTCATTGGAAGCGTGTCGGCCCACTCAAAAACGGCGAGCATTGTCAAGCAACAGCTCTCGCTCACCCCCCAGTCGACGGTGGACCTTTCAACGGTGGACTTGTCAAATTCGAAGGGAGGAGAAGGGCCAGGTAATGGTAGCTGATTAATTTGGAGGCAGCGAATGCGGAAGGATGGAGGGTGACGATAGTGAAGTGGACGACGAAGGTCTTCGGGACAAGGGCGATGGCGATATCAAGCTGATTGGAACAGGGCAGGCTTGTCTCCTTTTGCCATCCAGCTGTTTCACCCAGTTCCACTTTTAGAACTCATCATCCGACTTGGCAGACTTCGTGGCCCAGCGGTTGAGGCCCGCAAAACTGGACTACGCAGCCCGCAAAGCCTGAGATAGTCCTGGTCGTAGACCTCGGCTCTTGGCTGCCAATAGCGAGTTTGCGTGGCAAGTCAATTGGACCCAGAACACAGCTGGAGTCCAACTATGTGCTGGGCACCAACCTTTGCTCCACTCAAAACGACCCTAAGTCCAGCTTCTCGCGCGCTGGCTCGTGGTTCGCAGCTTGTCCAGCCTTCGTTATCGCAATCCGCAATGTCGACCAGCTGCGTGTCAGTCTCCGCTTTTGGTTGTCCGCTTCTTTCATCCCTTCCTTTCTCTGATAATAATTTCCAGCGCGTCGCAGTAGGCAACGGAGTCAAGATGATGGGAGGGAAGTTTGTGGCCCGAATTGTCGATGACCAGACAGGAATAGCTGCTCAGCGTTGAGTGGTAAGATCGATATCGTCGCCGTTGTTGCGAAGCATGCCGCGGGCTATTGACGATAGTGCGAAAGGAAGGAGTCGACATCATATGAACGAGTAGACAATGAGCAATGCAATGGAGGGGAATGTGATGAGTTGACCAGTAGGTGCAACAAGCTGGACCGTGTGGTAGGCCGACAAGACCCAGAGCATGGCTGGAATCCAACCATGTTCTGTTTGTTAATCTTGGCCCCGCTCGCGATAGTCTGCCAGTTCATTTCCCACTTCTCGTGATGCTTCATCGTTCGGTAACGGTTTTGAAGGTGAATGTAGGAGGACAAGGAGGAGAGAAAGACGCGGTTGGGACACGGACTTGGTGCTGTCGGCAGCGAAACATGGGTTTAGTGCCATCGTTACCAAGGGATCCATCTCGTCGTTGCGGAAAAGACGGGCACGTCCGACGAATGTCGTTCGGGCTTGTTCCGTAGTCGATATACCTTGACCAACCGGGTCGGAAATGTTTGTGAGTCGAAGGTCAACCCCAATTTCTACAATCCCAGCTCAAGTTGACCAACACTCCCTTCCGCCTTCATGCGCCGCATTCATGTTCCCGAATTCATTTGCGAGAGATCCAGCCCCGAGGAAAGAGGAAAACTGAAATCAGCAAGTGCGCGTTGGGCAGTAGGGCTGTAGCACTGCTGGAATCCAGCAATGTAGAGCTCTACTGCCGGCAGCTACTCGCAAGCTTTATTGGGGCTGGCCAGCAACAGAATCGGGGATGTCGTTACGAACGTCAAGGTAGGGAGTGGCCACGTCACGATTCAGAATACCGTCACTGGTGGAGGTGGAGGCATTGCCGTTGACTCGGAATTGACTGAGGGGGAATGGAGGAGTGCTGCGGTGCCTGCGTGTTGAGCTTGAGAGGAATGGATTGTCGTAGTCGAAAGGGAAAGTGAAAGAGGGGGAGTCCAGACCAAGCTGACTTGTTGCTGCAGCTGGAATCCAGCTACAAGCAGCAATTGATGGTGCCACATCATCATCGTGTCGGGCTCACTGGCGCCGACTCCTCGCTCTTCAGCTTGGTCTGAGGGAAGAGGAGGGTTGTAGTGGTCCTAAGAGATGGTTCGGGAAGCAACTGGAATTCCGCTGCCCCCCAAACCAGCTCTCGGAAAATGCATAGAGCATATCCACTTTACCACCCTTGAAGCCCCTCGCGGTGGGCTCCATTGTGATGCCTCGGTGCATCGCGGGTCCGGAGGGCCTCTGGGTAGTGAAGTGGAACTGGTAGGAACCCCGTTGTAACCTACGGGGCAGGAGGTGAGCAGATGCAGTATGCTCAGACTGGATGCTGGAGTTCAGACATCCCTCAGGCAAAGGGTAATCGTAGCCTACGATGGAGGAAGCAGTTAAGGCGTACTCAGGCAGTCGTAGGGGTACGAGGAGAGGAAGAGACCAAAAGACGATGAAAGACAAGATCAAGTTACTATGCTACTGTCACAGAGTGATCTATCGACTGATGTATGACATTTGGCCGTGTACTATGCCTATACCCGTCACAGATATGGTACCATATAGGCATCTGCAGTTTTACTTCCAGATCAATTTGTAGTCCAAATATTTGAAAGTTAAATTTCTTTGCAGACTTGATCATCCTTTTGACTTCTCAGGTAATCATGTAGTTTTAGAAATAGGTAAGGTCATTGATTATAGAAACAGATTAATCATAGTCCCCTCAGGCTTTTGAAGGTAACTTTCTGTCCAGACATTATTTATTAGACTATCAACCAAGAAACACCAGGACAGTCTCTGTTCTCCTTGAGAAAGATATATTTTGAGATTCCATGAGTCAATTGCTTCATTTCTAGTTTCAAGATGAAATATATTTCTACCTCCTGCCTCAATAGGTAGTCTCATGGTATTATGAGCCACTCTTACCTTTTCATTATTATCCCATAGGAATGCATGTTGCATCCTTTGTAATGTTGCTTCAATTTCCTCTGGCATTCCTTGAACACATGTTAGATATTGTGTTCGTCCTGCAATGCTCATGTTTATTATATGTTGTTTGCCTTCCAGTCCAGGACTAGCCCATATAGCACGACCTAGATCCCCTCTAATTTTTTTCCAGTACTGATAGCCAGGGATTAGAGCTTTTCAGATTATTTCCTAAATGTGCACCTAACATCCTAAAGCTTTCATTATCTCGTAAGATTCTCATTGAATCTGGAATGATACCTCTGGGTGAATTTGAATTGAGCTGTCTGTTATTTATGACCTCTGCTCGGTATTGACTATGGCCAAAAGGTACAATAACTGTTTTAGAAATGTTGAACTTAGCAGTTGAGGCTTTGCACCATGTATCTAAAATTCTCCACAATAAGATCCAAGAGTCATAGCTAGATAAGTATATAGTTGTGTCATCTGTAAACAGTGAGATAAGCAGTCTACGTTCAGTTCCGGGTACTTTGATTCCTTCTAAATCTGAGTTCCTAAGCATGCATGCTAATGGTTCAATTGCAAGATTAAATAATAAGCATGATAAGGGATCACCTTGACGTACTCCTTGGGTTATAGTGAATGGTGAGCTTAAGTCTCCATTAATCATTACCATTGTTTTTGCTCCAGTATATAAATTTAGAACAGTGTTAGAAAAACGGGGAGGAAAGCCCATATGGAGCAAAACTTTCCTCAGATAATCATGGTCAATCCTATCATATGCCTTTTCTTGGTCCAAGGCTATTAATACTCCATTTTCTTCAGCTACATCTGCATAGTCTAGCAAGAATTTGGCTAATTTAACCTGATCTTCAATTCTTCTTCCCTTCATAAATCCAGCCTGGTCAGGATTCACTAAATTACCTGCTATATTCATTAGCCTTAATTTAGGCATGTTACAGGGCGATAATTAGAAATAACAGAGCGATCACCTTTCTTGTCGATAGGGCACATCCATCCTGAATTCAAGGTTGAACCTTTATTAATTCCATTTTGTTCAATGTCTTTGAACACCTTAGTTAGAAATGCTACCGCTTCTCCATATATATATATGATCTACTAGTAAAACACTGCTGCCTTGTAATCCGTGTACCCGATGGCCGGGTCAGTCCCCTCCACACCGTAAAGATGCATCCAATCCAGCTCATTTTCCAGGGGCATTCTGTACTCCGCGCGCTTCGCAAAGTCAGGGTAGATGAGCCAGTTAAATCCAAAGAAGACCGCCTTGACAGTGTTGCTTCCATCGCCAATTAACGCCTCCGCGTCGGTGACCTGCAACCCCGCATTGACGAAAAGATGTGTGCGGCCTGATGCGAAGTATGGCTTGAACACCTCGACGACGTCGAATTGCATCGCGCGCAGCTTGCCATTGAACTCGCTGTCGAGCCGGGAGTTGTACTGGGCAAGTACAACGTAGGACAGCGGCGTGGGGAGCTGGTCAATCTCTCGTAGCAGGTAACCGAATGTGGCAACGGTTTCATCCAGCGGCATGCTGACATCGTTGAGCCCGCTGGTGGGACTGAGCTTGATGGCAACATCTCCAGCGAAGACTTGCTGGAGTGCAGCGATGACCTCGAGTGCAAAGCGTGACCGGTTGGCAGGCGAGCCGCCGTAGGCATCAGTCCGCTTGTTCGCTGTATTATCGAGGAATTGGTGGACAATGTAGCCATTAGCTCCGTGAGCTGCAGCAGCTCGGATCAGGGGGGAAAGCCAATCAGCTGCAGCACACGCACTTTCAATACCATCGAAACCCGCTGCCTTAGCATGCTCCGCCGCCTTTTTGAAGAGCGCCACGACCGTTTTGGGATCGGGCAGTTCACTCTAACAACATATCCAGGCTGGCCCTCTAGCAGGCGGAACTTGCCTCCCCTCGCTCCAATCGCAGATGGACCATATACGGGCTCCCCTGCCGCCTTTTGCTCCGGCATATCAGGGTGTGCCAGCCGACCCACATGCGTCAGCTATTGCGGTAAACTCAAGCTGGTTCTCTGATAGAGTTGGAGGAGAATTACCTGTGCATAGATCTTGCTTCCTGCAGCGTGAACCCCGTCGATGATGTTCTTCCATCCTTCGACCTGCGACACGTCCCAGAGGCCCGGCGCCGCCGGCCACTCCGCGCTAAGAAATCATCAGCACGAGGTCCGATAGGCAAACCGGCGGAATACACACCCAAGGCGAGTAACAAGGATGGCTTCGGTTACGATGAGCCCCGCACCGCCCTTGGCGCGCTGCACGTAGTAGTCGCGCATTGTATCGTTGGCGATTGCACCGGTTGCACGGTTACGTGTCAGGGCACTCATTCCTGTAGACCCCGAGCGGGTATGGTGAGCGAAAAGCCAGCTGGCCGAAAGCCGACACACCAATGCGGTTAGAAATGGTGACCGAGCCAACCTTGAGCGGGGTAAAGAGGGCAGACATGTTCGATACGGTGCAGCTCGTGTGCAACTTGAAGAATGAGTTGAAGGGAGACAACATCCCCTGTTACATATGCAGATGTTAAAGGGTACTCGGTCGACATGTCTATCCCGCGTTCCACCGGGGAATTTCAGGCGTATACGGGGTTTTTTTTAAAAACATCTCTTGTAATTAGAATATTAACATTTTTAAAAAACATCAGTGATTTACAAGTCTTCCCCTCATTTTAATGAAATCCACGCTGTCAAACTCCATATCTTTCTTGGCACCTTGGCATCAACAATTTTTTTCGTCTTTTTTTAGCCTTTCCCCTACTCAGTATTTTCCCCATACTTAAGGAATTTTCCACACGTCAGGTCTGGGGCCTTATAGCTACCACACTGCCCACCCTGACAAGGCTTTTCAACCTTTTCAACCTTTTTTTGATCTCTCATTTCCCTATGTAAAACCCGCCTTTTGGCAGGGGCATAAATTAGAGGCATTTTTTAAAAACATTAACACTGGTAATGAGAAGGCTTTTTAAAAAAAACCCCCGTGTACAGGTGGGAATTTGCCAGTTCATTCAAGTTGAGATTAAACAGTTTTTCTGCATTCGATCAACATTCAATAGGATATTAGCGATACAGGCAATGGTTGATAATCGCTCACTCAGCAAGATATATTGCCAACGTCAGCCGCGCTGTGGACATTGACGGTCGGCGTGTTTGATCTGACCAAGATCTGACTCGAAGTGGTCAGCGCTGGCAGGGGAGATGCAGCTTGAGTAGTCGAGGACTCGGACCAATACGGCGGACCATGGCCAGACCGGGGTGGTAGTTGCGTTATTCTCTTCTGGAATCTGCCCCTCATGACCGCCGGCGTGACGCCAGCCTCAAAGCGAAGAACGACTCGGACTTCGAGTATTCTTTCAGCAAGTTCACGGCAGCGGCGGATCCGAGATTCGATGGCGGGCTTATATCAGAAGACTGTCGTGACAAGCAGGCTGAGGGTGCAACTGAGTTACTTGAAAGTCCGTTGACAGATTGCCAGTGTGGCGGCCCGTATATATTGCTCCAGTAGTTTTTGGGACGAGGTATTGTCCCATGTCTTCTTGCTGAGAGCCATCTGGGCCGGGTCAGGGCGTTGGGGGCAGCTGGGCGGGCGGGCCAGTAAGCGGGAGACGGAGGCGGGACAAGGGTGGGAGTGGTTGGTAAGCGACACGTGCCTGCGACACGTGCCTGCGACACGTGCCTGCGACACGTGTCTCGGGCCGATCACTTTGCTTCTTTTCCCTCACACTAGTCGCGCGGACTGGCTGGTGGTACCTTACCTCGCAGTGGCGGTCCAGCCAAGTACAGAGCCGCAAATCGATTGCATCGCCTGTGCCGTCGTCGTTAGTCAAGCAAAGCTCTCATATGCCTGCGGAATTGGTCTTTTGCGTCAGTTGTCGTTGAGCCGACGTGCGGACTCGAAGGAGCTGAGCCAGGAACTTGCAAGCCGGTGAAAATTGACTCGATTGGCGGTAAGCACTCTAGATCCTTCCGTCCGCTCTCACAAGCCAACATCTCGCCAACATCTCGCTGCACGCCCACAAAACACCACGCGCCGGCTGTCATCCAGGTCGTGTTTTACCGTGCGAGTTTGCGCATTGACTCCACGATCGACGCTGCCAAGGACGATGGGCAGAGTCAGAGCGGTATAAGGGCAGTGACTCCTGTTCCATCGTCTCCTCTCTCATGCCTCCAAAGACACCCACCGCAGAAGACCACCTGAGAGTTCTCCGGGACGCACTTAAGCAGTCGACGCCATGGACGTCTGGCCTGCTCAATGTCCGCCCCGACGAGCTCGTTCTCTTCTACAAGCACGGTGCAGGAGAGGACGACGCCAGGTGAGTATTCCTTTCGATTTGACATCCCCTGACTTGTCGTAGACACCTCAACTTCAATGACGCGACGGAGGAACAGCTTGCACGGCTTGCCGAGAGCTGCCAGCCTGCGACGTTTGGCAAAGGCACGGAGGACATCCTCGACGAGAGCTATCGCAAGGCCGGCAAGCTCGACTGCGCGGACTTTGCCGCCTCGTTGGACGTTGGCACGTTAAGACTGGTGGAGGCGATCAGCCCTGACTTGCTGGATGGACGGGACGATGTGGAGGACAAGAGCATCAAAGCGGAGCTATACAAGCTCAACGTTTATGGTCCGTTCTCAGTTTATTATTCTGCCAGCTAATGCTGCTTTCCAGGCCCCGGCTCTTTCTTCAAGGCACACAAAGACACGCCCCGCGCCGGTGACATGATCGGCTCTCTTGTTGTAGTGCTGCCTACCGCTCACTCTGGCGGTGCGCTTACCCTCTCGCACGGAGACAGCAGCACAAGCTTCGACTCTGGTGCTCTCCTCGCTGACAAACCCTCATCGATTGCCTACGCCGCGTTCTTCAGCGACGTCACCCACGCTGTGGAAGAAGTCACCTCTGGCTATCGGGTCACGCTCACCTACAACCTCTTCCTCCTTGATGCGCCGACTTCTCGCCTTGTCCCAGGCCGGCAGGCATCCGCAGCAGAGACTGCCTGCGAGGCCGCGCTCCGGGCGCTGATGGCCGATGCGACCTTTCTCCCAGCCGGCGGGCTGCTCGGGTTCGGTCTCCAGCACCAGTACCCCGTGCCGCGGACCCCGTCAGACCCAGCATCACTAGAGCACGTGACCACCGTGCTGAAAGGGGCGGATGCGCGGATGCAGAGTGCCGCGGCGCGGGTGGGGCTGGAGAGCGTCATCCAGCTGATATACAGGAGCCTGGAGTACTATGCGCGGGGCCGGGACAGGGGCGGGAATCAGGTCGTGCTCGGGGAGGTCATCGATTTGGAGGGCATGTGGGACGAGGGCGGGGAGACGTCGGAGGCGGTCGAGAAGGCGGGCGAGGTGTTGCGGACTGCTCGGTACAGCGAAATTGGGGTGAAGCCGAAGAAAAATTCACAGCCCGAGTCCGAGTCGGCGGGACTTGAGGATGAGAAGCGCACGGCCATCTTTTGGGTCAGGAGACTCACGCGGCTGAACCGCGCGGAATCGGCGTTCATTGCGATGGGGAACCAGGCGGACCTGGCGCATTCGTATGGAGATGCGGCGCTGTTGGTGCGGTTCCCGCCGAGTGGCCAGCGGGGCGCTGAGTAACTGGCGCACCTTCAGTTATGTAATCAAAGTACTAGTTAGTGGCGCAGTTGCGCAGAATACCACTTGACGCTGGTGATTCTCGGGAACTTGAAACCCCGGACAATGATTACCATATTGGGGCATCCTTCAAGCACTTGTTCAATGTTGTCTCTTCTTCTCTGTGTTGTTGCTGCGAGTGTTGCTAGGGCTCACAAGCCAACCTTGTATAAAGTACTAGACATCCGCAAGTCTTTGTCGAACAACGCTGGGATGGCGACCTCTAGAGTATAAAAGGCACCAGTAACAGCAGAGTACACTCACTCGAACATGTACTCTCACCAGCAGAACCACCACCGTGACCACCCTCCGGCCAGGGGCCATAAACATCATCGTGGCCACCGGCCTGTTCGGCACCGTCCGGTCAGCTTCCCCATGGTCGAACACCACCGGACGACGTGGGGCCACTATGTCTCCGAGTTCCCCGGCGCCGAGGGCCACTGGCAGATCCAGCTCATGCCGTATACCGAAGGCCCCGGGCCGGACCCCGAGTGGAAGCCGCCCAAGTCCCGCTTCGTCCCGATGATCGGCATCTGCGACAGCGCGCAAGATGCCCCGCCCGACGGGCTGCCGCCGTTCACCGCGGTGATGGAGCTGACGAACCCCGATGATCCACACATGCGCCCGCATGATAGCGCAATTATGCGCGACATCACGTTCAAGATCGAGGGCACCGGGTGCTCGACGACGACCGGGCCGGATGGCGTCACGAGATATGTGTGAGTGAAGAAATTGATCGTGAGATGATAGCCGTTCTGACGCGGTGTAGGCGCCGGGCATACCATGTCGACGAAGTAACTGGCAACATCGATATACGATACACCCTCACCTTCTCGACACAAATCGATCCCGCTCGGGGCGTACCCGTGCTAAAGGATCCATTTGAGGTAGAGTACTCAATTAAAATAGGGTAGTATTACTAACCCTTGCAGCTGGAGTATATTCACAACGACAAGATTCCTCGCGCTGGGGGAAAGTGCAGCACATGGGACGGCCCCATCACAGGCATCCCAAATGATCCTGAGATTCTTTGTGGCTTTCCCGGTGGACTGTCGGAGACAACATGGGGCGAGATGTGTGCCATATGGTGGTCTGTGAAGCACTACTGGAGAGAATTGGTGGCCGGGGAGTACTAGTTACTAAAGAAGGGAGTACCTATCTTAGGCTAACTAGTCACACCGGATTTGGCAAAATATCCCTTAAAGTAGAAACTGTCTTAGATTCTACCAGAATCTAGAACCAAATCAGCCTGTGGAGATTTGCCCAATATTTGGGGCCAGTTAGGCCTCGTCCCGGAACTAGCACTGTTCCATGCCCGACCGCTGGCCGTTGCTGCAGACCTTCTACGAAAGAGATTCAATCATTGACCCCTATGTCATCGCGCGATCACGCCACCGCGTTTGTTGATCTCCACGTGACATCAGATTGTGACATCGGCTATTCGGTGGGTTCTTTTCTACCCTCATGTCGAAGGTTCCGCACCCTGACTTGCACCTTGCACGACTTGACGTGCTGCCCATTCGCCCCCGCGTAAGAAAGCCCGCTCCGTTAGTGCAGCGCTCTCAGACTGATACAGCTGCGTTACTTAGGTGCTTGCGCGACGCGTGTGCGTGCGTGATCCGCCGCGGGACACTGTCGAGGCCTTCAAGACAATGCTGGGCGACCTCAGCTCGGGTAGCTCGGAGGCCACCTATCTGCTGCCCGCCCTGTATTTCCTCCTGGACACCGCTAGCATCCCGCCGGTGGAACAACTCGCGGAGCTCTCTCCCGCGCTGGAGAAGGCGGTCGCTGACTGGGCTGCGTACCTCGCTTTCTTCCTCGCCAAGGTAGACCCCAAGCCGGGGCCCGCGTATACGGCCACGTGGCTTCGTGTTTTCCCGTGGATCGAGTTTTTCGGCACTTATGGCCCGTCGTTGCCGACCACGCCGCTGGGGCCTGCGTTCGTGCAGGCGTTTCTGTCTCACGGTGCCGAAGCGCGCGTAATCGGCCTCGATGGCATAAACGTGTCATTCTCCTTCCTTGTTGGGCAGGAGCTGGCTGCTATGTTCAACAGTGCGAGGATTGTGGAAGAAACTGGGGCTGACGATGCCCGCACGATTGTCTTTGCGTTCATCGATCCGGGCAAGGAAGAGGGCACCGATGAAATGGACGTCCCGTCTTTTCTGGAGGGCGCCGGCGGGATGCAGCGGTGGGCCGCCGTGTTGGGCGGGAACCTGCGCAAAATAGTCCGGAAATGGGCAACGCCCACCAACTCATGGGTCACCGAGCACATGATGACATGCATCGATGCGTTCGTTGTGGCGGCGCGCACCACCCTCTCTGTCTTGGAAGGCGATGAGGCCGCCTACGACCGGTTTCTCGATGGTCTGGCGGCAGCGCGCTTCCCCGCTGGGCTCACAACCGCGCTGGGGGTCCTCGCGAGGCCATGCGACACTGCAGACAAGAGCATTCAGGCGTTCCATCAGGAGACGCAAAAAGAGGCCCTCATTTTGCTGAGGCTATTTCTCGATGTGGGCATGTCCCGCACCCTGTTGTCATGTGCCACGCGCGGCCTTTTACCATCTCTGGCGGCACTTGCATCCGCGAACACCGCCACGCTCGTCCAAGACGAAGTGCAAGAGATACTCAACCAGTTGCTCTTCCCGGAGCTTGTCAATCCGCAGGTGGTCCGAGTACTTGCCAAGGACACCGAGTTCCCCATCGACGAAATTCCCTTCGCTGCCCTCCGACAACGCTTTACCGCATTCATCGCCCAACTCAAACGGCAAACCGAGCTCGTGGCGCTGTGGGCTGAATGGAAGCAGCACGACTGCAGGCTCTGCGACGGAGTTGCGGTATGCCCTCCCTCTTCTGTCAGTCCGAGACTGACCATATCAAGTGCACCACGCAAAGCGCCCACAACGGCGTGTGTTCCACGTGCCACTTCCGCGCGTACTGCTCCCTGGGTTGTCAGCGGTCGGACTGGACCACGGGGCGTCACCGCGAAATGTGCCCCGAGTACCGCGAATCGTCGCTGGGTATGCTCTACTGTTGACCATGCTGAATGCTAATTACTACAGACTCTGACGAGCGCACAACCCCGCAAACGCGCTCGTTTCTGCGCTTCCTGATGGCGGAGGGCTATTCTCAAAACTACCCCGGCCCCGCTGCGGGCCCCAACATTGCACTATTCGACCACCGGCAGGGGGAGCATTCGTTTCAGGGGCAGTACTTTGACGCACTCTCCGAAGCCGCTGTGCTGGAGGGTATCCTCGACGCAGGGATGTGGGCGGACTACGGCGCCCGTGCGGCCCGGGATGTGGCACTCGGCATTGGGTGGAATATATGTCTGCTGGGAAAGCAACACTACGACAGACCGCTGGTGTTTATCCATCGGGTGGTGCGGACTAGTTAGGTACTCCTTTGCTTAGTAACTAGTACACCCCAGCCACCAATTCTTTCCAGTGTTGCTTCACCGACCACCATATGGTACACATCTCGGCCCATGTTGCTTCCGACAGTCCTTCGGGAGAGTTATAGCCAATCTCAGGATCATTTGGGATGCCTGTGATAGGGCCGTCCCATGTGCTGCACTTTCCCCCAGCGCACGGGATATCATCGCTTTTAATATACTTATACTCCAGCTGCGGGGGTTGTTAGTGACTACTGCCCCATTTTAACTCAATACTCTACCTCAAATGGATCCTTGAGCACGGGTACGCCCCGAACGGGGTCGATCTCTGTCGAGAAGGTGAGGGTGTATTGGATCTCTATGTCGTCAATCGCATCGTCGGCAGCGTATGCCTGGCGCCTACACCGCGTCAGAAAGCCCATCCTATCGCGATCAATCACTGCACTCACACATATGTTGTGACGCCATCCGGCCCGGTCGTCGTCGAGCACCCGCTGTCCTCGATCTCGAACCAGATCTCGCGCATGATATCTGGATCATCAAGTGTGCTTGGATCGTCGGGGGCGTTCAGCTCGAACGCCCCGTTGAAGGGCGGCGGCCCGTCCGGCGGGTCACCGTCTTCGCTGCGGATGCCGATTCTCGGGACAACGCGCGCCCTGGGCGGCTTCCACTCCGGCTCCGGGCCGGCGCCCTCGGTGTACGGCATGAGCTGGATCTGCCAGTTGCACTCCGACTCGGCGCCGGGGAACTCGGAGAGTTTGTGGCCCCACGTGGTCCGGTGGTGTTCCGCTAGTATGGGGAGGCCGACCGAACGCTGGCGAGCAGGCCGGCGGCCACCACGACGGTTGTGGCCTCTGGCAGAGCGGGTAGTCGGAGGGTGCTGGTGGGAGGACATATTTGAGTGAGGGTACTACTCTGCCTATTGGAGCCTTTTGTACTCTCCTTATTCCATCAGGTCGCCATCCCAGCGCTGTTCGACAAAGACTTGTGCATGTCTTGTACTTTATACAAGGTCGGCTTGTGAGCCCTAGCAACTTCCGCAGCAACAACACAGAGAAGAAGACACAGCAAGTGCTTCAAGGACATCCCAATATGGTAATCGTTGTCCGTATTTTTCCGAGGAAATCACCAGCACCCAAGTAGGTATGTGTAGTATTCAGCGCAAATGCGCTACTGACATAGCTAGTACTTTGGGTACATGAATGAGGGTGCGCCAGTTACTCTCCCCTCTGTCCACTCGGCGGGAACCGCACCAACAGCGCCGCATCTCCATACGAATGAACCAGGTCCGCCTCGTTCCCCATCGCAATGAACGCTGATTCAGCACGGTTGAGTTGCGTCAGTTTTCTAACCCAATGGATGGCCGTGCGCTTCGGGCCGCTCTCGTCTTCCGACGCAGACACCGACTCGGGCTCCGAATCCTTCTTCCCTTTCTTTGGCTTCACCCCGATTTCGCTGTCACGCGCAGTCCGTAACACCTCGCCCACCTCTTCAATCGCCCGCGACGTCTCCCCGGTCTCGTCCCACATGCCCTCCAGATCGATGACCCCCCCGAGCACGACCTGATTCCCGCCCCGGTCTCTGCCCCCGCGCATAGTACTCATCACTCTCGTATATCAGCTGGATGACGCTCTCCAGCCCCACCCGCGCCGCGACACTCTGCATCCGCGCATCCGCGCCTTTCAGCACCGTGGTCACGCGCTCGAGTGATGCTGGATCAGACGGGGTCCGCGGCACAGGGTACTGGTGCTGGAGACCGAAGCCGAGCAGCCCGCCGGCTGGGAGAAAGGTGGGATCAGCCATCAGCGCCCGGAGCGCAGCCTCGCAGGCAGTCTCTGCCGCCGATACCTGCCGGCCGGGGACAAGTCGAGCAGTGGGCGCGTCGAGAAGGAAGAGGTTGTAGGTAAGCGTGACCCGATAGCCAGAGGTGACTTCCTCTACAGCGTGAGTGACGTCGCTGAAGAACGCGGCGTAGGCAATCGATGAGGGTTTGTCAGCGAGGAGAGCACCAGAGTCGAAGCTCGTGGTGCTGTCTCCGTGCGAGAGGGTAAGCGCACCGCCAGAGTGGGCGGTAGGCAGCACAACGACGAGAGAGCCGATCATGACGCCGGCGCGGGGCGTGTCTTTGTGTGACTTGAAAAACTAGCCTGGCCCTGGAAAGCAACATTAGCTGGCAGAATAACAAACTGACAACTGACCGTAAACGTTGAGCTTGTATAGCTCCGCTTTGATGTTCTTGTCCTCCACATCGTCCCGTCCATCCAGCAAGTCAGGGCTGATCGCCTCCACCAGTCTTAACGTGCCGACGTCCAACGAGGCAGCAAAGTCCGCGCAGTCAAGCTTGCCGGCTTTGCGATAGCTTTCGTCGAGGATGTCCTCCGTGCCTCTGCCGAACGTCGCACGCGTGCAGCTCTCAGCAAGCCGTTTGAGCTGTTCCTCAGTCGCGTTGTTGAAACTGATGTGTCTACACCGAGTCAGAACTTGGAGGGATGTTGAATTGAAGGGCAAACTGACCTGGCGTCGTCCTCTCCTGCGCCGTGCTTGTAGAAGAGAACGAGCTCGTCTGGGCGGACATCGAGCAAGCCAGACGTCCATGGCGTCGACTGCTGCAGCGCTTCCCGCAAGACTTTCAGGTGGTCTTCTGCGGTGGGCGTCGCCACGGCTTTCGTCTTGGAGCTAGTTGCTTTTCTCTTTGGAGGCATGAAGGAGGAGACGATGAAGACAATGGGACGCACGCGGAGTCACTTATACCGTGAGGCTCTGACTCTACCGATCGCCCTTGGCAGCGCCGATCGTGGAGTCATTGAGCGGACTCGCACAGTAAATGACGGTAAAACACACAGAGCCGGCGCGTGGTGTTTTGTGGGCGTGCAGCATGGTGGGTCGCGAGATGTTGGGGATGCTCGTGAGAGCGGACGGGAGGATTTTGACTGCTTACCGCCGATCGAGTCAATTTTCACCCGCTTGCAAGTTCCTGCCAGCCCGTGCCTCCTTCGAGTCCGCGCGTCGGCTCAGCGAGAATTGATGTCCAAGACCACGAACACGGAATCGCACGACCCTGAGCTTAGCGTGAGTGAAAAGAAGGAAAGTGATCGGCACGAGCCTGAGGATACATATTAGGCGAGCGCAAGGCGAGCGATGTCTGACTCGGAATAAGCTGGGGCAGCATAAAGGGAAGTCGCTGCACAACGACTGGTGCTTGCGGCGTCGACGTTGACAACCTGCCGGTGCCATTTTGTCGACATCGACGTTGGAGAGGAAGATTGGAGGAAGACGTTGTTGACAAATTGATGAGACGTGACTGTGTGAGTCACGTCGTCCCACGCTGTCATTACCTCGCCTTCTTCTCCGCCCCACTCTGCACGCAACTGACTGGCTTTCCGACAGCGGAATGCCTCAGGCTCTAGGAAACGGCACGGTGGACGTCTTCGACTGGAGCAAGCCGAGGAAGCTCACGAGGATCGACTGCACGGAGCTCGTCGCTCCGTGGCCGCGTTTGACAATGCCCTAACTTGTTGGATAGACGGGACGGGAGTCGGACGGACGATGCGGGGGACAAAAAAGACAGAAGGTGAGCCATACTTCCTATGTCTGCTGACGCGCTTGCTCACCTAATGAGCAAGTGACTGAAAATGGCAAGTGCTTCCAAACTGCTTCACTGCTCCAAAGGAAACAGCTCAACAAATCCAGAGAGGCAGAAGGATGGACTGAAGACAGAAGTGGACAAAAGTGGGAGAATGACTATTCTGCGGCATAACTAAACTACTACAAGCTTTTATACTAAAAGCTATAGGAGCTAATGAATATAAGGAACAGGAACTAGGTACTAAAAGGAACATATGTGCCGGAGTGGACCCGGAAGGACGGCACATCCGACGGATCAATGACTAAGCGATGCTGACAATGATGCTGACGAGACTGGAGGCTCGTCACTGCATAAGTTAGCAGAGGCGCATGTGTGCTGAATAATGCATAATATTCAAGTCATGGACGGCATTTCGACCTCCTGTTTCGCGCACTCCCCGGATCGAAAATCGTACCTCCTATTGGTGAGAATGCAAATGCCGTATTGGGCTGTCCTTCAAGTTAACTTTGTTGTACTTTGTTCTGTTGTCAAGGACAACGGGCAACCTTGTATAAAGTACAAGGGATTGACAAGCCCAACGCTTGCCGTCATGGATGACCATTGACTATATAAACGGCACGATAGTTGGCACCGTCACTGGAATCCTATGGACTCTCGCCACTTCCACTCCTCTCTCAACCGCCATGCCAAGCAGCCCACCATGGGCTTCCCAATGATTGAGCATCACAGGACGACCTGGGGCCACAAGGTCGCCGAGCATCCCGGCATGGAGAACCACTGGCAAATTCAATTCATGCCGTACACCTCCGGTGACGGCCCGGACCCCGAATGGAAGCCGCCCAAGGCGCGCGACGTCCCGGTCATCGGTATCTGCGGCGCAAATAACGGCCCGCCCGACCGGCCGCCGCCCTTCAACTCGGCGATCGAGCTGGACGGCCCCGACGATCCGCGCCCCGGCGCCATCATGCGCGAAATCACGTTTGAGATCGACGGCACAGGCTGCTCGACGACGACCGGGTCAGACGGTATAACACGATATGTGTGCGTGATGGCCTCCGAGTCTGTTCCGAGTGGCGGCTGACGCGTTGTAATTGTAGCCGCCGGGCATACGTTGTGGAAGACGGCGATATTGATGTCCGATACACACTCACCTTCTCGACACAGATCGACCCGGTGCGTGGCGTGCCGACGCTAAAGGATGCGTTTGAGGTAGTGTTTTATGGCCAAAGAGTACAGGCTTTCTTATTTATGACCCTTACAGCTGGAACATATCGATCTCCAAGGAGTGTTTTGTTCTGGGGGAAAGTGCAGCACATGGGAAGGGCCTGTCACGGGCATCCATGATGATCCGGAGATACATTACACATCTCCAGGTGGGATGTCGGAGTCAACGTGGGGTGAGTTGTGTGCCATATGGTGGTCTGTGAAGCAATATTGGAGAGAATTAGTGGCTGGGGAGTATTAGCCCCAAATGAGTACCTATTACCGTCCTTACTGTTTGATCGCTGCAATGTACATAGGAAAAAAAATTATAGGAACATATGGACTAAAAAAATTTAAGCCCTTCTAGAGGGACTGACCGACTGTGACATGTGTGAGTATTGCCTATTTTGGCAGGTGATCCCCACGGTCACATGGTCCGGCCATTAGCAGATGAGGCACTGGGCTGATTTAAAAATTTTCCCCCTGGGAAAGTTAGAGGATGAATGGAAGAATAAATTCCAAATTTATCTATAGATTGCCTTGATGATAAAACCACTGTATACATGGTAGTTTTTAAGACAAGGAAAATTCAGAGATAAAGCTTGCCGTTTCCCAGCACCAAAACCCAGGGTAAAACTTATAGATAAATATTATATTTATCCACTAATTTATCTTGGGATTTCTGACAAGAAAAAATCTAAAGATAAATCTTGGATAAATCTGCACATTTATCTGTAAGAAAAATGTGGGGATTTTCTGGTGGATAAAGCTGTAGAGAAATCTGCCATTCTGTCAGGGGAACCCCCGCTTCGGCCTCCTTCGGACCCTCCGAACGCATCCGAGGCGCATCCGACCGGCGCCCCCTCGGACGCCTCCGACCCACCCCGACCATCGTCCACGGCCTCCTTCGCCCGCACAATCACCGATCCGTCAAGACCCTCCCAACGATCACCTTGGGACAGAGCCTGCGACGCCGCTCAGGCCTTCTGCGCTCTACGTCGGCAGTTACGGACGACCAGTATATAGTTGGCGCCCTAGCAGGCGGACCCTTAGAGTTTCTTCTCTTTGGATCCTCCCCTGCTAGGTCGGTCCCTCCGTGTATTTCCCGTAGCTTTTATTCACGCTTTGGATCCTCCCCTGCTAGGCTTTCGTCGGAGTCTCCAGGGTTGCCCTTACAGCAGAAGAAACTCTCTACGGGATTAACCGGTCAAGATTGCCAGGTTCGGTGCTGACTCAGGCTCGGAGTACGAGTCCGTACCCCCCTCGTCACCGCCCCTGCCACTTGACCCCTCCTCCTCTGCTCTTGTCGTCTTTACGCCCGCTATGTCTACCGGAGCTGCTGCGGACGCTGACGCGCGCATGGACGCACTTGAGGCGAAACTAGACAACCTCACCAATATCCTCACCCACCTTGCTTGCCAGGCTTCCGCTGCCGCACCACCTCCGGCAGCTCCCGAACCGCCTTCGGCATCTCCGAATGCCCCCGACGCGGATGCGTTATTTGGTGACATTACTGTCGCCTCAAAACTGGTCTTACGACCAAACCCCCCGTTTGCGTTTAACGGAGATTGCAAACGCGCCGCGCCTTCCTATATACGGTCAAAACCTACGCTCGGCTTGCCCCGGAGGCCTTCGTAGTTAACGGAGAGCCGAGCAAAGAAAAGGCCGTCCGCTACGCCATGTCCTATATGGCGGAGGGACCTGCTCAGCAATGGGCAGAGCGTCATGGGAGCAAAAACCCCTTCCCCTTCCCTCGGTGGAGCCAGTTCCTCTCCGAGTTTCGCCTTCGGTTCGTCGAGGAGAACGAACAGGACCTCGCGCTCGCTAAGTTGGAAAGCGCGGGTTATCACATGGGAACGGGATGTCTACGGATATACCGACGACTTCGAGGACTTGATGGACCTCGCTGGCTTCAAGACGCGTTGGTTAAGGTAACCAAGTACCGCCACGGACTTGACCCCTTGATCAACAACGGCATCACCTCTTCGAACGACCCCCCAGACCTCCGTGACTATCTGGGCTGGCGCACTCGGGCTTTCCGACAATATGAAGCCCTGGTGCGAGCGAAGCTCATTAAGGGAACGGCTACCCCGCGGACCGCTTCGGGAGCTCCGCGCGGCGCCTTCCCCATCACTTGTTCGCCCGCGCCCCCGTCCCGGTACCTCCGGCTCCCGTCCCTATGGAGCTGGATCGTACTAGGGCTTGGGGTGCCCCTCGTCGAGCCTGCTTCAGATGCGGCGACCCCAACCATTTGGCTCGGGACTGTCTGCTCCCCGCCGACGTCCGCCATGTGGACATCCTCGATGAGGTAATCCAGCAACTTGGCGATGAGATGCTGGGAGAGCTGCTTGCGCGGTTGTCCGATACTGCGGCCTTAGCGGAGGCGCATTCGGAGGCTCCGGCAGAGGATTTTGTCCCCCGCGACGAGTGACTGGTGTGCCCTCGTTCGCGTCCATAAATCGTTTCACTTGTTTGTATGATGAATCAACTCCCTTGCCCTACAACGAGCCCGAAACGAAAGACGCACCCTCTGCCCCCGTTCGGATTCGCCGACTTGCCTGGGAGAAAAAGCTACCTGGCAGTTATACCATCTCTGCCGCTCCTGGCGTTAACTCGCTGCACCTCCCCCTTGAACTTGAGTCCACTGCGAACGCGCGCTCAAGCTCTCCCTCTCGGGTCTGGTCGACTGCGGAGCTACTTCGGACTTTATCGACACAGAATATGTCAACCGGAATAATGTGCCAGTCCGAAATCTCTCAGTACCCATCCCGGTCTACAACGTCGACGGCACCCCCAATGATGCTGGGTCTATTCGCCAAATCGCGGACCTCGTTCTACGGTACAACGGACACTCGAACGCGTTCAGCTGGCTGTAACCCACCTTGGGAAACAGGACCTGATACTCGGATACTC